ATTTATTAGAACGAGCTGTATCGAGACCGAATCTCATGACCGAATCCCAGCGCCGAAAACATTAAGGTTATCATGACCGAATCTCACGAGGGGATTTGCGGCGCTCACCAGTCTGGCGTCAAGATGAGATGGACTGTTTTAAAGGACTGCATAGAATATGTGATAGGGTGTATCAAGTGTCAAATCTACGGCCCCATACAAAGGGTACCGGCCGAAGCCCTCCACCCGGTTACTAAACCATGGCCGTTCAGAGGGTGGGCCGTCGACATCATTGGCAAAATCTACCCAGCCGCATCCAACCAACACACATGGATTTTGGTGGCAAATGACTATTTTACTAAATGGGTCGAGGCGAAGTCCTATCGGTCAATTTCTAGCACACAGGTGGTCAAATTCTTTGAAAATCACATCGTCCACAGATTCGGTATACCTGAGACTATCACGGCCGATAACGGCCCAGTCTTTGCATCGGCCGAAACTCGGGAGTACGCCGAAAGGATGGGGATCAAATTGGTTCACTCAACACCTTACTACCCCCAGTCTAACGGACAGGCCAAGGCAAGCAACAAGGTAATCAAGGGCATCCTTGAGAAAATGATTGAGGAGAAGCCTAGGGCTTGGCACGACTTACTCCCTGAAGCCCTTTAGGCTTACCGAGTCTCAAAACGCTCGGCTACTGGCACATCCCCTTATGCTTTAACCTACGGTCACGACGCCATCGTTCCAATGGAGTTAAAGGTTCGGTCTCTCCGTGTGACCGAGCGGCCTGGGCAAGAAAGGAGGAGTTAAAGGTTCGGTCTCTCCGTGTGACCGAGCGGCCTGGGCAAGAAAGGAAGGACTACGCGCAAGCCATGGCTCAGGAGTTGGAGGATTTAGAGCAGTCCAAGCTCGATGCTTATAACCTAATGCAAGCACAAAAGCAGATTGCAGTGAGAGCCTACAACAGAAAGGTCAAGCAAAAGACGTTCGCCGAAGGCGACTTGGTTTGGCGAGCTGTGCTTCCTATCGGGACTAAGGACACTCGGTTCAGCAAATTCTCTCCCAACTGGGAGGGACCGTTTATTATCGAACGAATCCTTGGCCGAGGTGCTTTTCAGTTGAAAGATAGGGATGGAGAATAGCATAACTTGCCAATAAACTGCCAGTATATAAAGAGATATACCCCGTCATTATGGGAGACGGCCGAGAATGAGTTGTGAGGTTTACAATTAGCAAATGAATGAAGTAAATAACATGACGAAGCTAAAAAGGAAAGCATGCATTCAGTCAGTTGGAATACTTCATTTATATTGAAAGAAAGGGGGTCGCGTTCACAAAGAAATTGCCAGGTCGTGGCCGATTAGAAAAACATATATGAACATACACATAAGTGAAATACAGATTACATCCTAAGTCTATGAACGACGGGTTCTTGATCCCCTCGCTCAACAGGCGGATGATCCTTCCCTAGGCGATGTTTCCGCCGTCTATATCTTCACCAACTGCGGCCCCACCACGGCCGTTACTCTGGAAATTGGGGTCATAGCCTGACCGAGGCCGTCACTCAGGACATGGCCAAGGTCGTCACTTTGGCCATGGCCGAGGCCGTCACTTTGGGTACAGGTGCAGCCGGGTGAAGCCAAGGTCGTCACTCCGGCCATGGGTACGGCCGAGGTGCTCAGCCAAATGAACATGACCAAGATAGAATCATCATACCAGACCCTCCCATCTTCATCAATCGCATTGCAGTTTCTCCACAGCCTCAAGGGGAGGAAGGTCATCCCCCTTCAGGGCTGGAAAGAAATCTCAGCCACATCATGGCCTTGGCTCACATCGGCTTTCCAAGACGAGAGACAGTTGGTGGACAGCAAGGGAATAAAGGCCATCTGAATCAGGCCAAACTGCCACGCCGCAAGGTTCAGCAGGTTGGGCTCGACCCCAGTTTTGGAGAGGCCACGATGGGGGCCATTAGAGCAGATTGAAATGGAAGGGAAAGGGTTGAAGGAAGAACGAAGATAAAACCCAGGAATCGAAACTGGAAACCCAGGAATCGACGAAAGGCTCGAGAATTTTTTGAACAAGTAAAACGAAACACCTGTGTTTTCAAGCGAGAGGTCACTAAGCAAGAGAAGGATTTTCAGAATCAAAGAGAGAAGGCTGAGAAAGTGGGAGAGTTCAGAGAGGACTTCTGAGGATCACGAGCTTGAGGATTCTGAAGGTGTGAAGAAAAAATGAAGAAGGCAGGGTTTTTATACTAGCGCTAGAATTCAAAGCGGAGGGGCATGACTCTCGAAAGACGTAACAACCTGACAGCATACTCAGATCACGCGAAGACATGTCAGAAGCCTGGGGGCCAACGTTTCAATTAAAGAGGTAAAGCGACGGCTCGCGCGAATCAGGGCAATGATGGCCTAAACGACGTGCTTGCACATTAAATGCACCGACCGACCTGCGCATTTAAGGCACCAACCGTCAAACAAGGCCGTTTAGTGATGGTGTTGGTGGGTTTTTGGGCGGTGCTCCAGCGCGCTGCTCAGGGAGCGACGGTCGTATGATATATGGGGTGAATGAGCGAATAACATGGATGATGCTCCGGCGCCTTGAAAATCAAGGGTCGTATGATATATTGATGAATGAATTTTCCTTACAGTCTAACACTACTCCTAGGAAAACAAGTAAAGATATTGAAAGTGCATTACAGGAAAATATAAGTTGCTCCGTGGGAGGCTTTGGTTTGGTGTTTGAACCCTTTGAATGTATTTTGAGCCCTGTATTTATAGGAGTTTCTTGGAGGAGTAATCGAGGCTGAAATCCTGCATAGTGGAGCCTGATTAGAGCAAGTGGGTAGTCCAATCGACATTTGGGATCGTGAAGTATGGTGTTGCGACCCCATAAATCCTGGTGAATCTCGGCCGCTGCCCTGATCGTGGGTTCTACGCTTTTGGCTGTGGAGACGCATTTATTGTTCTGATAGCCGGTGACCTAATCTCTCAAGCTGCAAGAATTCTTGTGAGAATGTCCACGTCTAATCACTCTGTTTCCTGTCGCCAAACCCTGACTTCAGCCACTTCCCACCTTCCCTCATGCATTAAATGTTTATTCGTGGCCAGTGGGTTCGCTGCAATAAACAGAGGCATTACTTCATTAAATGAAGCATGGGACCCTACTATCACGTGATGATTTGATTCTGATATCTCTGGCCGTGCTTTGCCTCGGCCTCGGCCTCTTTTGTTTTCAGGAAGGCAAAACACCTTGGCGAAACGCTGCGCTTTAGCTTCTCGAGGAAGTGCTTGGGCCGAGAAAAGGGGCTCCTTCGGCCAGTTCATGGTCGTGATTTATTATGCACAAACATTGCCCCCACATCCCTGGATCCTTCAGTCTCGACGTAGGTAGGGGCCAAATGGATTCCAAGGGATGGACCCTTAGCATTCCTCCTAAAGTGATTGACAACTAGGTCATTAAATGCGCAGGTCAGTCGGCGCATTTAATGCTTCAAGCACGTCGTGCTGGTCATTATTGCCCAGGCTTACGCGAGGCGTCGCTTCACCTCGTCAGAGGAAACGACGGCCTCTGTGCTTTCGACACGTCATCGCGCTCTTAATTCACACGAGCCATCATTTTGCCTTGCTAATCGAAACGTCGGCCGCCAGGTTTCTGTCATAATTTCGCGTGCTGTGAGTACGTCGTCAGGCCATTTCGTTTTACGAGGATCATACTTCTTCGTTTTGAATTCCAGCGCGAGTATAAAAACTCACACTCCTTCGTATTTTCTTCACACTCCCAGAATCCCTGAGTTCATGTTCTTCGAAAATTTGCACTGACCTTCCCCAGTTTTCTCAGCCTTCTTCCCCCAAGTTTGAAACCTTCCTATTACTCAGTGATCTTTCTTCTCGCTTTAAACACTCTGGAGTCTTCCTTTGATCCCTGTGCTTCATCTTTCTTCACTTCAAACCGCCCTAATGGTTCTCAATGCAGCCCTTCCAAAGCCAGGGTGCCATATCTGCTGAGTCTCATGACTTGGCAGTTTGGCCTGGTCCAGATGACTTGGCAGTTTAATGAAGATGGGAAGGCCTGGTATGATGACTCCAACGTGGCCGAGTTTATTCAGCTGAGTGCTCCGGTCGTATCCATGGCCGGAGTGACGGCCCTTACCATGGCCAGAATGACGACCACTTACCATGTCCTGAGTGACAACCGCTGCCACGACCGCTTACCATGTCCTGAATGACAACCGCTGCTATAGTTGGCGGAGGTACTGTTTCGGGGAGGAACGTCTGATTGTCTAGCAAGAAGACCATGAAGCCGTTGCGCGTAGATTTAGGATGTGATTTTTCTTATGTGTGTTTGTACTTGGCCATGACCTGGCCATTTCCTTGTAAACGTGTCCCCCCTTTTAAACTAAATGAATAAAATGAAGTATGATTTTTTGGTTCGTCTTCGTCGTGTTGCATACTCCACTTTTGTCATTTGTGAATCTTTATAACTCTTTCACGGCTGTCTCCCATAATGACGGGGCGTATCTCTTCAAATACTGGCCGTCGATCGGTAAGTTGTGCCACTCTCCATCCCTGTCTTTTAACTGAAATGCCCCTCGGCCAAGAATTCGTTCGATAATGAATGGCCCTTCCCAATTGGGCGAAAATTTGCCGAACCGAGGGTCCTTTGTCCCGATAGGGAGCACGGCTCGCCAAACTAGGTCACCTTCGGCGAAGGTTTTTTGCTTGACCTTTTTGTTGTAAGCCCTCACCGTAATCTGCTTCTGTGCCTGCATTAGGTTATAAGCATCGAGTCTCGATTGCTCCAAATCTTCCAACTCCTGAGTCATGGCCTGCGCATAATCCTTCCCTTCTTGTCCAGGCTGTTCGGCCACACGGAGAGACCGAACCTTTAATTCCATTGGAACGATGGCGTCGTGACCGTAGGTTAAGGCGTAAGGAGATGTGCCCGTGGCCGACCGCTTTGAGATTCGGTAAGCCCAAAGAGCTTCGGGGAGTAAGTCGTGCCACGCCCTAGGTTTTTCCTCAGACCAATTTGATCCCCAGCCTTTCGGTGTATTCCCGAGTCTCGGTCGACGCGAAAACTGGGCCGTTAGGACTCGGCCTCGACCCATTTAGTGACCGAAAACTGTGGACGATGTGATTCTCAAAGAATTTGACCACCTGTGCGCTGGAAATTGACCGATAGGACTCGGCCTCGACCCATTTAGTGAAATAGTCGGTCACCACCAAAATCCATGCATGTTGGTTCGATGCGGCCGGATGGATTTTGCCAATGATATCCACGGCCCATCCTCTGAACGGCCATGGTTTGGTAACCGAGTGGAGGGCTTCGGCCGGTACTCTTTGTATGGGGCCGTAGATTTGACATTTGATACATCCTTTCGCATATTCTATGCAGTCCTTTAAAATGGTCGGCCAATAATAACCGTGCCTCTGAACCAGCCATCTCATCTTGACACCAGATTGATGGGCACTGCAAATCCCCTCGTGAGATTCGGTCATGATGACCTTGATGTCTTCGGCGTTGGGACATAGGAGTAATAAGTCGTCCGATCCCTTTTGATACAGCTCGTTCTGATAAATCAAATAACACCGAGCCCGGAAACGTGTAGTCCTCTCATGGCTGCCGGAAGGGTCACGCAAATATTTTATTATGGGGTAGCGCCAATCGGCTTCGGCCATGTTGACCTCGTCGGTAATCTCGGCCGAAGATACTTGCGTTGCCATTCCGCGTTCGGCCAAAGCCGGCAGGGTACGCCTCTCGATTCTTATTACGCGATCGTGTTCGGTATCCAGGATGTTCACGCCTGACGCCACCTGGGCCATCTCGTTGGCCTCATGGTTTTCGGCGCGTGGTACATGAACAAAGGAAATCCTAGAAAACGCGTCGGCCGTATTGAGGGCCGTTACATAATACATAGTGAGATTCTCGCTCGTGCACTGGTATTCCCCGGTCAACTGATTAATTACCAACTGAGAGTCACCGTAGACTAGAACACGGGTTGCCTTCATTTCTTTCAAGATTTCGAGACCGATGATGAGTGCTTCGTATTCGGCCTGGTTATTGGTGCATTTGAAGTCGAGTTGGAAAGCGAACTGCCATCTTTGCCCTTGAGGGGATTCGATCATGACTCCGGCCCCTGACCTGGCCTCGGTACTGGAGCCATCGAAGTACATGGTCCAGTAGTTCTTTTCCATGCGGGCCATGCCGATCTCGACCTCCAACTCTCCCTCCTGCCCCTGGGCCGGGTGATAAGCCAGGAAATCGGCCAATGCCTGACCTTTGACCGATTTCTGAGCCACATATTGAAAGGTAAATTTCGATAATGCCATCGTCCACTTCCCAATTCGGCCGCGTATAATCGGCCGAGTGAGCATGTACTTGATAAGATCGGTCTTGGAGAGGATCCGGACGACCGAAGGAAGCATATAATGCCGCAACTTGGTGGCCGCGAAATAAAGCGCTAGGCACAATTTCTCGATCGGCGAATAGTTTAGTTCGGCCGTGTTGAGGGTGCGGCTTAGATAGTGCACCGCTTGTTCTTGTTCAAACTCGTTGTTTTGAGCCAACAGGCAGCCGATAGAACCTTCTGAAGCCGAAATGTAAAGCCTCAAAGGTTTTCCTCTTTTCGGCGGCATAAGGACTGGTGGTTGAGACAGATATTTCTTGATGTCGTCGAGGGCGGCTTGATGTTCTGCTCCCCATACGAACTGTTCTGTGTCCTTTAGTTTGAGCAGAGGAGTCAACGGCCGTAAAAAGTTGGATATGAACTGCCGTAAAAAGTTGACCTTGCCGAGGAAGGATTGGAGCTCCTTCTTGGTTCTCGGCGGAGGGGCCGCCATAATGGCCGTAGCTTTATTTTTATCTACCTCGATTCCTCGTTGGTGAACCAAGAAACCGAGGAAATTCCCGGCGGTGACGCCGAATGCACATTTCTTGGGGTTCATTTTTAGGCCGTGTGCTCGCATTCGGTCGAAAGCTTGTCGGAGATGTCCTACGTGGTCGGCTTTGGACGGGGACTTTACAACGATGTCATCAATGTAGACTTCCACGGTCCGGCCTATAAGGTCGTGGAAAATCAGGTTCATAGCTCGTTGGTATGTTGCGCCGGCATTCTTTAGGCCGAGCGGCATGACTACCCATTCATAGGTTCCGATTGCTCCTGGACACCTAAACGCCGTTTTGTGGACATCCTCTTCGGCCACGAAAATTTGGTTGTAACCTGCATGGCCGTCCATGAAAGACAGGAGTTTGTGCTTTGCGGCTCCGTCTACCAGGAGGTCTGACATAGGCATGGGGTATTCATCCTTTGGGGTTGCGAGGTTCAGATTTCGGTAATCGGTGCAAACCCTCAAGGCCCCGGTCCTCTTTAAAACTGGTACAATGTTGGCCAACCACTCAACGTACCGGGCCGTTCGGATGAAGCCGGCTTTAAGGAGCCGTTCAATTTCCTCCTTGACCCTAAGCTGGACTTCGGTCGAGAAACGCCTTGGCGGCTGCTGGAAAGGCTTGAACCCCTCCTTGATTCTTAATTCGTGCTTGACCAAACTTCTTGGCAACCCAGGCATCTCATGATAATCCCAAGCAAAACAATCCTTATATTCATGGAGCAAGTCGATAACCTCGTCCGCTAACTTAGGATCCAAAAGATGGCTTACAAAAAGAGGTCGTGGTTCGGCCTCTGACCCTACATTTATTTCTATCAAAGGGTCCTGGACTTCAGGGTAGTCATCCTCCATTTCGGC